CTTGAATTACACCTTATTACGAACACTATAGCTGATCTCCACTATGGGCATTTACATCAGTGGGGGTCATAACCTCATCCATGTCCTTCACGAGTCTCTGTGGAAATTAACTGAACTAAAATGTATGGAAGTCTTTACTCAGCTAAAACATGAGCTGAATCATACAGGTGTACAGTTTATAACTAATACACATGCTAACGGTGGTTAGGAGACCTGGATCTAGCTACGGCAGTATCGCTGTATCTCAGGGTTTGGATGAGGCTTGCTATTCCACCACTGGAATGGTGGGTTTGGATGATGACTTCCACCACTAAATTAAAGACAAATAATAATAAACTAAGTGATCTGTAAAGTCTCTTCTAAACCTATTGTTCCATAACTATGTATGAAGAGGAAGAGTTGGTATAGAAAAAGACACAGATGTGTCTTTTTCCTCCTTTCCCTAATGAGAGACATGTTTTCTGAGAGTGTCCTCAGCCAGCTAGACAGTTTCTCCATTGTTCCCTCTAAAACTGGGTCAGGACAACAAACACTGCTAAAACCAGGATTACCTGATAGTCCCATACTATTACCAGGATAAGCATATAATTCCTAGCACCTAATATTTGACTACAGAACCTGATGTTCAGTTAACATTACCTGTTTCTATGCTGATGCATGAAGCAGAGCTTCCTTTAGGACAGGACATCATTTCCCAAGAACTCGCAAACGCCTGAGATGTCTTCTCTAATATATTCTGACTTGACATGAAATCATCCTCTGCTCTGTTGTTGTAGGAACCACAGAGTCCTGTGTAGAGCACAGAACAAATTTTAACATCCTCTCACCCACTCAACTTTTTGCATTCATATTCAGTTCTTTGCTAAATCAAAACATGTAGAAACCACCTGAGAATATGTCTTAGTTAGTATTTACACATACAAGTAAAATTTCGTGACACTTCAGATTGCTACCCCCTTTTGTAGTCCCAGGAGCACTGAAAGAACATTTGACTTGAATATCATGTTTTTCCTGTTTGTTGCTGTAACTTAACCTCCTTTGACAAGGTTGTAGGAAACATGCTTTATGACTGTGAATTTTCGGTTTCAGTCTGGAGAGTTGAATCATGTTAGGGGCTATCTGTGTATCTTATCTGGACTCTTATGACCCATGAATTACATTTTTTCCTATGCATATAAAAGTCACCTTCTCATGCGAAAGTATATTGCAAAAGCTTAGATTGTTTTAAATGAGTAATTGTGGGATTTCTATTATTTTTTTTGCTTTGTTTGACATTCAAGACAGTATATAAGAGCTCATTTCTTTGATAGAAAAACTCAGTGAAAGCTATGACCATGTAATATATCAGTAGAAAGGCAAATTATTATGTAACTTGTGTTTGAAACTTGATTTTTTTAAAGATTTATGTCTCTAATATTGTCATTTATTCTTCTACAGGGCAAAACTTTAGTAACATATAGCAAAGTGATATACAGCAGAGTGATATGTTATCAGTGATAATAATGTACATTATCAAAGTGATATATAAAATATTATTAAATCTCACCTAATTTAAAGACCTTAAAATGGTTAAATTGTTGAAAATCACTTGGAAAAGATTTTGTAATAAATAAAGCTGTCTTCACTGTATGTCATAATTATTTTACTGCAATGTGGAAAGGAAGATTAAGTAAACATGCTTTATGATCTAATGTCATTAATTGAGACAACTGAAAGTTGCAATAAATGATGGTCACATTAGAGACATGGAAATAAAAACATAACCAGAGGACTTACCTACAGTGTCTGTGAATTGGTTGGCTGGCATGGAAATATATAATTGCATCACAGGAGCAATTTGTATTTGTATTTTTGTATGAAAGTATGTTTCTGCTTGAAGATATGAGGAAGATACTTTGAAGATCTGTATTTGGTCTGTTAAAATAATTTTAACATTAATAGCAATAATAACATATTAAACAGTTTTTATTTCTTAAAATGCTTTTATACTTTATATATTTTAAAAAACAGAAAAGTTTACTATCTTAAAAATTGAATAAATTAATGTACTTTATGTTTGTTTTTTAATGATATTATTAAACTTACCTGAATAGTAATAACCTTGATTTCTAATCTTGTCATTTGTGACTGTTCCATCTCTATTGAATATATATTTGTCAACTGAAACAGACTAATAATTAAAGCACATTGTCAGTTCATATTAATTTACAATATTCATTCATTTTAGTGTAATATACGAAACTGAAATGTGTCATAAAAATGTTTAACTTTATTGGATTAATTTATAAATATCTAAAATATAGAACATTTTTAAAGCATTTCTTATACCAGTTCTTTGAGCAAGATTATAAAGGACTTTTCATTTCTAATGTGTAGATGAGGAAACTGAGACTCAAGAAGGGACCTTGGATTTCCAAAGGTCAAGTGGCTTATAAGTATCACAGACCAAGCTAGGTGGCCTCCCTCCCTATTTAGGTCATCTCCAATTAAAATGTTGGTTCCAAATATATGACAGTCTAAATAAATACAATTGCCCTCTTAAATGGTTCACAGAGTTTAATAATTTAATAGGCACATGAGGTTGATCTGTGATTAGCACATTAGTTGTACGTCTAGGATATACCTAAGAATCCTTGGAACTATGCAGCCCTTCATGGGTTTATCAGTCTTATTTGTGCTTTTAGTTTACACAGTAAAGCCTCTCTTCTCTAACCTCAAAAATTCTCAGTTTGTGAAGTAATTGATTTGATTTCGCTCTGAATAAACTTTAGGAAGCTGATTACTTACCGAATTCAAGAGGAGTGTAACACTATTTAAGCACGTTCCTGACTGACCACTCGGACATGGACGAAGCTCAACACTAATAGACCAGTCTTCGTCCTGTATAAAAAATGCATTTCATTTAAATGTTTACTGAAATGTCATGGATTACATGCCATTACTATGTGATTCATCCACAATGCATGTTTGTCTTTTCAGTGTACAAAAGGCTTACATACAATCCGTCTGCTCTGAAACTAGAAGCCTAGTTCAGCTAATGGTGCAGTCTAGGGTTGGCCAAGTGCTTTACGGATGGTCCAAGCATCTTGCTTAAGTTATACCTATGTAATCTACAACTGGTGGATTTTCACTGTAATCATTTTTCTCTTTTCTCTTTATTTTTGTCTTCTTCTCCAGGGGAATTATGCGGAGTTATTGAGACTAACAGGATTTAGCCTCATAATAAAGAAACTAAACATAAAATATAGCTTGTTTATTCTCTGGACAATCCATAACATCTATTTAAATCCAAAGAGAGAGGTATTTAATTTGTAAACCCATAACATAAGTCGTCCAACGCTGACTTCCAGTTATCACTTCAAGATCTAAGAATATCTACTCTATAAGAAGCAAATATACCATATATTT